ACAGTTTTCAGTGACGCATCACATCAGGGACTCGGGTGTGTACTGATGCAAGAAGGCAAGGTCATAGCTTATGCATCACGACAACTGAAACCTCATGAGTGTAATTATCCGACTCACGACTTGGAGTTAGCAGCTGTTGTTCTTGCACTGAAGATTTGGAGACATTACTTATATGGCGAGACGACTCGCATCTTCACCGACCATAAGAGTTTACAGTACTTGATGAGCCAGAAGGAGTTAAACCTTCGACAGAGAAGGTGGCTAGAGTTGATTAAGGACTATGACTGTCACATCGCTTATCATCCTGGTAAAGCGAATGTGGTAGCCGATGCTCTTAGTCGAAAGACTCTTGCTGAACTCCGTATACGACCTACGTTGGATCAGGATATCATTTCAGCACAGCATCAGGATACTTTTTGTCTTGAGACACGTAAGCTTGTTTCCAAAGGAGAGAAACAAGACTTCTCTGTTCGAGATAATGGTACACTATACTATCGAGATCGTTTGGTAGTACCATCAGGTGATGTGAGAGATCGCTTATTGCGTGAAGCTCACGGAACTGTGTATACCATGCATCCCGGAAGTAACAAAATGTTCCAGGATCTGAAGAGACACTACTGGTGGTCAGCTATGAAAAGGGAGATTACCGAATTCACATCGAGGTGTATGACTTGTCAGCAAGTCAAAGCAGAACATCAGGTACCCACAGGACTTTTACAGCATATCACTATTCCTGAGTGGAAATGGGACCGCATTATGATGGATTTCGTAATCGGATTACCATTGTCCCCGAAGAAGAATGATGCGGTATGGGTTATTGTTGATCGTTTGACAAAGTCAGCGCATTTCTTACCAATTCGGCGAGATTTTACACTTCAGCGTTTGGCCGAACTGTATATCCGCGAGATTGTCAGGCTACATGGAGTACCATCGTCTATCATATCAGACCGCGATCCTCGATTCACTTCCCAATTTTGGAAGAGCTTGCAGAAAGCTCTCGGTTCCAAACTACATTTCAGTACAGCGTTTCATCCTCAGACTGACGGACAGTCTGAGAGGACTATCCAGATTCTTGAGGATATGATGCGAGCGTGTGTCATTGATTTTGGAAACAATTGGGAAAAATATCTTCCTCTGATGGAATTTGCCTATAACAATAGCTATCAGGCAAGTATTGAAATGGCTCCGTATGAAGCACTGTACGGAAGGAAGTGTCGAACACCAGTTTGTTGGACTGAGCTGAGTGAGAGGAAACTCGAGGGTCCAGAACTCGTGCGCGAAACAGAGGAGAAAGTTCAGTTGATCAGAGAACGACATCAGATAGCAGCGGACAGACAGAAATCTTATGCAGACCTCAAGCGACGCGATATTGAATATGTTGTTGGTGATAGGGTATTCTTGAAAGTTTCTCCGTGGAAGAAGGTTCTACGTTTTGGCAGGAAGGGGAAACTCTGTCCAAGGTTTATAGGCCCATACAAAATTTCAGAACGTGTGGGACCTGTAGCCTACAGGTTGGAATTACCGCCAGAACTAAACAAGATTCACGATGTTTTCCATGTATCCATGTTGAGGAGATACAGATCCGATCCATCTCACGTTATTCCAATCGAGACTGTCACTCTGGATGAAAATCTTTCCTATGAAGAGGAACCTGTAGAGATCCTTGCACGAGAAGTTCGAGTGTTGAGAAACAAGACTGTACCCTTGGTTAAGGTGCTTTGGAGGAGTCACTCTGTCGAAGAAGCAACCTGGGAAACTGAGGAATCCATGCGATCTCAATATCCACAACTTTTCAGCGACCAGTGATCAGGTAATTTCGAGGACGAAATTATTTTTAAGGGGGAGAGAATTGTAACGCCCCGAAATTAGGCCTAAAAGAATTAATTAATTTAAATATTAATTAACAACTGAGACAGACCCGAACACTGAAAAATAAAAGTTTTCAGAAAAATATTTTAATTATATCAAAGTTTTAGTTTTGACAGTCTGATTCCAAAAACGCGATCCATTTTCAAAACGGAACAGTTTGGGCGAAAAAG